TTTGATACATTTCCACTTTCAAGTAAGAATTGCTATTATTGGTATTACTCATTTATTATTTTCTTCTTTTATCCTTGAATGTAAGCATTAAGATTGTATATAGGTCCCTACCAGGGCCAGCTCCAGGTTTTTTGCTGCCCCCAGCAAAAAAATTGGCCATCCCCGCCCCCTCTTTTTTTCTTGGCTTTTACACGTTTGCACTTTGCAATGGTTTGTTTGTTTGTTTTTGTTTTCGTTTTTGTCCCAGCATTTTAGCCCTATAAATAGCAAGTATAATTTTAATTCTTTTCTTTTTCCCATAAAGGCACTTCAAGTAAACACCCCATCCCCTTTCACTTGCTGCTGGGTCACAACAGCCTTTTCCCTGCCCTGTCCAGCTCCTCCCTATGGACAAGCATCCCTCACTCCCGAGGGGAGCAGGGACAGCACAGAGCTAGAGGGGCATGGGGAACAGGGGGAGCAGGGTTCACCGTGGGGAATGGGAGGGGCATGGGGACTGGGATGCGCAGAGCCAGAGGGGCATGGGGAACAGTGGGGGGGGGTACAGGGGTGGCACGGGAACAGGAGGCACAGAGCCAGAGGGACACAGGGAGTGGGAGGGACCAGGGTGCAGGGGATGCGGGGAACGGGAGGGGCAGAGGGATCACGGTCCAGGGGCAGTGCAGGGAATGGGGGGCACAGACCCAGAGGGGCGCAGGGAAAAGGAGCTGCGGGGTGTAGAGGGGGTGTGGAGCCAGAGGGGCTGGGGACCGGGGGGCAGGGGACACAAGGGGAATGGGACACGGGGAATGGGAGGGGCAGAGGGATCACGGTCCAGGGGCAGTGCGGGGAATGGGGGGCACAGACCCAGAGGGGCACAGGGAAAAGGGGCTGCGGGGTGTAGAGGGGGCACGGAGACCGGGGTGCAGGGGCTGCTCAGAGGCAGAGGGGCGTGGGGAGCAGGGTGCAAGGGCAGCGCAGATCCAGAGAGTCACAGAGAACAAGGAGCGCAAGGGGACTGGAGAGCAGAGGGCAGCGCGGAGCCTGAGGGGCACGGGGCAGGCGCAGCGGGGCGGGCGCAGCAAGCCAAGCGGCCGGCAGGAAGCAGTCTCTCACCAGCAAAGGAGGCTGGGGCCGCAGCAGGACTGGAGCCGGTGGGGCTGGGCAGAGCCCGGCCACGCTGCACTCCGCAGCCAGCTCCCGGGGACACACAGCCAGAGCTGAGCTCCCACAGCCCTTTAAAATCTGCGGGGCAGGGCGGGGCCAGGCATTGCCAGGGGCAGCCACTTACCTGGAAATGTGCCGCCCCACGCACATGCTTGATTTGCTGGTGCCTAGAGCTGGCCCTGGTCCCTACTTGTAAATAAGGCATCAGACATCCCTTCTCATAGGATAAATGTGTTTTTAATTTAATACCTTTACTAAATAATGTGAAAATGAAGCCTGTCTTTCAGGCCAGTCTTCACTGGGCAGACATTTTTACACCTTCTAACTTATGGGTGCAAATAAGGACTCTAGAAAGTTAGATATCTAAGTATCTGCTACAGACAGATTGAATCATTTCTGGATGATCAGTATTGTGCCAGCAGTTATTTCCTTAACATTGTACCAGCAGAGAGGCCTGGATTTTTTAATATTTGGCCCAGAATATGGTCTGTAAATGAAGTATCACAGCTTTCAGTTATTCATTCCTGTTTCACTGATGGCATTTCAAGGAGGTAGCATTAGCATTCAGCCAGTGCAACTCACAACAAGTAAATGCTGATTTTTTTTTTTGTATACTATTGTCTTTTAAATTGAAGTTCCATGTAAAGTGCTAGAAATAATCAGAAATAAACACTTGATTTTAATAAAGTCCATCTTTTTGCTTGCCCCATACCAAATTGCTTGAATACTTGCTACATCTAAGGATTTATGACGACAGTTCTGATTTGTTTATATAATTTCAACTTTGGTTCAATCTCTCTAAAATAATGAAGTGTCTGCAAATCTGTAGTAAAGTTTATGAAAGTAATTTGTTCTTTATCATTTTGATATGGACTAGCATGTAATTGTCCTAGTTATTGTAGGTTAACTTACAAAATGCATGTAACACAAAATGCAAGTTAAATATTTGTTTTTCTATACACACACATGTCTGTGTTTGGCTTCTAGATGAAACCATAAAAGCAGCAGTTGATCTAGATAGACAACATGTCATCTGCATCCTGGACATCTGCCATTTAGGTGAAGATAAAGTTGAAGTCTTTCTGAACAAAATTTATAAGATAATGGAGACTGATGCAGTGAACCTTGTGTAATTTGTTTTATTAATGTTATCCATGTATTGTTGGGGGGGGGAATAAAACTTTTTTGTAACTTACAATAAGCCCTCTTCAGACTACCACTTTCTAGAACAGAGCATTTCCAGTGTATATGTTCTGACAGAACAATTGTAATGGTAGTCAATACAATTGAGAAGGAAGGTTCATTGCCTTCATATCTGAAGGCAGTGGAATAGAGTATTTATAAATGAGGCTGAATGCTAATAATTTTTATATCTCTATTACTTCAGTGCAAGGCAGGCTTGCCTGGATCCGGCCTCTCTGCACTATTTTTTTGCTTCTCGCTTGTGTGCAGCCCCCAACTAATTTTTCTGTAGGTCAGCAGCACCAACCCAAAAAAGGTTGCCCACCTCTGCTTTAGTGTAATGCTGACAGCTTTCCAGGGGAACATTTTTTTTTTTTTTGTACATGATCCATCATTAAGCAAAGAGTCTAAGATGGAGGATGGAATGTACAGCCAAATTCTGTCCCATTAGTTGCCTGCATATATGCATGGGAAGAATTTGGCCTTTTCTGTCCATAGCTGGTAGAAACCTGAAATCATTGCCATCTTCCATTGCTCATCAGGATGGTCATGTGAAATGAAATGGTGATCCCAGTCCTTTTCCTAGAAAAAACATACCTGCATCCCAGAAACTTGCCATCACAGTTATTCCCTTGTTTGTAGTTTCAACAGAGCCAAAAGACCCAGTATATTGAGAACTATCTTCTACTTTATGGAAGGGTCCCTTTGAGCAATTTGAGAAACCCATGGTAGTTGATAAGGAAGAGCTTACCCAGCAAGTGGCATACCTGTTCTGTGAATAGAAGCCTTCAGTTTTAAGAGTTTTCAGTTCTGATTCATTGAATTAATTAAAAAAGAAGGTACTTGTGCATTTTTTTCTGTTACATTTTCTAGACATGTTATTGAATACCGGGACAAAGTTTGAATGTTGTCTGTTCACTTCGAATGTCATTCTGTGCTTGTGCATAGGTATCCAGGAAAGTCCTGGTGTGTCTTACAATTTTTAACATTTTATAAGTGAAAAGATATTAGTGTAAATGTCTTGGTTAGTGAAAGTTCATATGGTAAAACATTTGCCCTTTTATATCTTTCTGCTCTGTATTTTGTATTTATATGTATGATATGGTATAGGCTCTAGCATCTAATAAGAGTCTGGCACCTGTACTTGCTATTCCAAACTGAGCCATGCTGACTATGCCAGCAGATATTTTAAAGTAGATATACCTCAGGTAGAACCTTAATTTTAAGGAAATAGCGTTTCAGAGTCAAATTTTAAGGTGATTATGTTTTTGTAATAGAAATGCTACAGACACTTGTACAGCGTTATCATATTTTATTACTAGTTCCCATCTCATCCCTCTTCCTTTTATTTTGTTTGTCAGTGATCCTATTGTATGTAGTAAAACCCAACTCTGGCTCCAGCTCCGTTGGCTAACTGCATGGCAGTAAGCACTTAACATTGTACTTACCCCTTGATGCTTTGTCTTAACACAATTTTGAAGTTGTTTTTAATTGTGTGGTAGTTAAATTATATCCCATTTTATTTTATATCTATGTTATTTGAAATGTATCAAAAGATACCACAAATATACATATATACTGGCAAAAATGGGTAAATTCCATTCTTTGCAATGAGTTCATTTGCTCTTTTGTTTCACGAAGTAAAGCTAACAGTAAAATTAAAAATGCTAAGAAACTACAGTCCTGTTGATAAAAATCATAACTTGTTGTCATGCCTTTCATTCTCAAGAACAGGGCATTGTAAAATATTTTCATTCTGGAGGGATTACTCATCTACCTCTGGAATGCAGCCACTGTAGAGGTGGGGTGTTACCAGAGGCTTATGTATTCCCTAACCCTAGATTTCACACCCTGTCAAAAATTACTCTGGAATTTTAGCTCTTAATTTCTTTTTATAAATGTTTCTATCCTTTGTCATTTCATAGAAAATCATAGAAAGGACAATTGAGTATGAACTAATGCGTTTTCTGTCTGAATATGTAGAGAGCCTGAAATAATAGCTTCAACAAGTGTAAACTATACAAATCTACCTGTGTGACTGAAATTTAGATTACAAACTGTGGAATATTGAAAATGAGGGCATCTTAAGGAAAAGAAATAACACATAATAGAAAGGCTTTTGTATTTATTTCATATTTATGTATAATTGAATAAAAAAGTCTGTTTTTAAAATATATCTGAAGTTTAAATAAATCTGAATTTCTATCGGAGAGCTGCATAATCCAAGGTTTTTGCAGCAGAATTTTAGGTCAAGTTTGTCTCAAACTATGCACGGCATCAAGTTTTGCAGCTATTTTGGGTCTGTAACCCTAAACGTTTTTTGCAATGAGTTCCAGTGGCTTTAGCTGGTTTCTGGTTTCATTGCCTTCGTTTCTCAATAGAGCACTCTTTGAAGAAAGAGATTTTTTTTAAAGCTATTTCTACATGATTTTTTCCCATGATGGAGAAAAATCCATTGGAAAGCATAGGAAAGAATATATGAGTACCTGAGTGTAATAATTCATATGTTTTGTGTGAGTCTGTGGCAATGACCTCCATTATACAGGCAGTACCTCTTGATCCCCTATTGACTTTGCAGGGAGTTGAATAGAGGCAGTCCCCGAGTTACGCGGATCCGACTTACATTGGATCCGCAGTTACGAACGGGGCCGTTCCTCTCCCTGGTCTCCAGCAGACCAGGGAGAGGAAGCAAAGCGGCGGAACACGTGGGCAGCGGACAGGGCTGTCCGCTGCCCACGTGCTCCGAGGCTTGGCTCTGCTTTGCCCCTCCCCTCCCCCTGGTCTGCAGACCAGGGGGACGGGGTGGGGGGGGCAAAGCAGAGCCAAGCGCGGACAGCCCAGATGCATCTGGGCTGTCAGCTGCCCGTGTGCTCCGCCGCTTTGGTCTGCTTTGCTCCCCGTCCCCCAGACCAGATGAATTTTAATGAATTGCAGATGAATTTTAATATTGATAAATTCAAAATGAAAACAATACTCTACCGCAAAATCTCTTTTTTTTTTTTTTGGGGGGGTGCCCCTGCTCTGCTGGTGCCCTAAGCACATGCTTAGTCTGCCTATTGGGTAATCTAGCCCTGGGCCAGAGGCCTACAGAAGACTGCTAGAAGGGAAGTATGTTATCCCTAGATTAAGCAGGTCTCTGTTCCCTGGGTAAACTGGCAGGGGCTGG